GGCAGCAGCCCAGTTTGCTTCATTTGTTCTTCTGGGTGAACGTTTTTCTCTTCCCACACTCCTTTAACCTCTTCTCTCTGTTTTATTATCACAATCTCAAGTCGCTGCATGGAAATCCAGAAGGAACATTAGTTGCAGATTCAGTGGAAAGCGTTCTTTTGGCAAAAGCTAACTTTAAGGTAGAACTATAAACAGTTCTCAATCTGGCAATGATTAAGACAGCTGTGTTGTTGAGATGCTCAAAAGCTGTAGCTATTTTGTCCTGTGGGTTGAAATTACGAAGTTTTAAGATGAAAAAACTTTACAATTATTGATGGAAGATTAAAAGCAAAACTACATGCTTTTCAGGAACCACCTGAAGGCTTCAGCTTTGCTCTCAAGTTTCTTAATGAGGTTATAGTGGACTTTCTAACGAGTAGTAAAACAGTAGTGCTATCCAGAAATAGCCATCACGTGAAGAGCTGCCCACTATACCATGCTGCTAGTAGTACAGTTAATGTCTCAAGAACTTGGCAGCTGGAAGCTGGATAGGTTGAGATTGGTAAAACTTGTATTCAATAAACACATGGATTATTTTGAGCCCATGTGTATTCACAATTCACTTCCTAAACCTGTTCTGCTGCCAGGACTTCCTGTGCCAAGTAACCTTCATGGTAGAGGGGAGGTGGTGGTGTGAGGAGGTATCTGTCCCTAAGCCTCTATACAGTCAAGTGACCAACAAACAGTACTTAAAGCAGTGTTAAACCTTGACACTTTGAACACTCCTCTATACAGTCAGTGACCAACAAACAGCACTTAAAGCAGTGTTAAACCTTGACACTTTGGTGAATGCAACCCAACACTTACCTCCTGTGTTGCAGTGCTTTGTGGCTTTATTTAGGCTTTCCCTTCTAAGGAAACATACTCAAATGTATTTTTTATGTCCTTTTCTCATGTTATCTATCACTTACTTCTTTTTGTGACTGCGTATGTAGGACAGGATGGAGTATACATCCCCTTAGGGGCAGTTTCAGCAGCTAAAATTAGCCTTCCAGGACCACAGTGATGAGAGATATGTTCAGGTAACAAATGCTGTGGATCACAGTTTGGAACTCGCGCTTTGAGAGCTGAAACCAACCGTCTTGTATGGAAACTTTTCATCCAGTAGACAAGTAGACTGGTTGAATCAATCCACAGTAACATAAGGCATGGTCTTGGAGACCAAGGATTGTGTTACCTGAAGGCTGATCTACCTATATGTTCTTAAGTATAATATCAGCACTTATGGATACCCTTATGCCATGTGGAAGCGCTAACCAGCCCTGAGTATTTTTGCAGGAGATAGTTTTTCTGCACCCTGTGATGGTGTCCCTCTCTGTGCATGGGATCCTAGGTACTTTCTGCTCCTTTTTTGGCTTCTTACTTTCATTGAGGGAGTAAATACCATAAATCCTGGCAACCGTGCTGCAGTTGAGAAAGGCTATTAGCAGTGCAGCAGGCTGTCAAGCACCATCTCTGCCCAAAACTGAGTGTATTCAGATTTCATGGTGCTTTTCCAACCTAGTGACGCTGCTCATGATTACTTCCCTGTGTATGGTTATTTCACTTTTATTTTGAAAGTGCTTCCTAACGCTGGAGCTTCGTCTCCTGCCAGTCTGGCTGATACCGCTTGGATTTACACTCATTTTCAGGGACTGCTCTGTCTCCACTTCTGCCATTAGTGTCAGCACAGTGGTAAAATGTTGCTTCTCCAAGTTGTCTCCATTTTCCTGGAAGGGCAGTTCATGCATCATTTGCTCTAAAGGTTCTGATAGCTCAGCAAATGTTCGAAGACGAATTGATGCTCTTTTGTGGCAAAAGGCCCAGTGCGTAATTTTACATTTACTGGGGATAACGTGGCCTTGGATAACCGAGTCCCAGATTTACTGTTGCAGGATGGTGTCTGAGGGTTTATCCAGCCTCAACCCCCCCTTTTTTTTTAAATACTGCCATTTAATCCTGACAAGCAGGCACAGGCATGCTCTGTGCATGGGATCCTAGGTACTTTCTGCTCCTTTTTTGGCTTCTTACTTTCATTGAGGGAGTAAATACCATAAATCCTGGCAACCGTGCTGCAGTTGAGAAAGGCTATTAGCAGTGCAGCAGGCTGTCAAGCACCATCTCTGCCCAAAACTGAGTGTATTCAGATTTCATGGTGCTTTTCCAACCTAGTGACGCTGCTCATGATTACTTCCCTGTGTATGGTTATTTCACTTTTATTTTGAAAGTGCTTCCTAACGCTGGAGCTTCGTCTCCTGCCAGTCTGGCTGATACCGCTTGGATTTACACTCATTTTCAGGGACTGCTCTGTCTCCACTTCTGCCATTAGTGTCAGCACAGTGGTAAAATGTTGCTTCTCCAAGTTGTCTCCATTTTCCTGGAAGGGCAGTTCATGCATCATTTGCTCTAAAGGTTCTGATAGCTCAGCAAATGTTCGAAGACGAATTGATGCTCTTTTGTGGCAAAAGGCCCAGTGCGTAATTTTACATTTACTGGGGATAACGTGGCCTTGGATAACCGAGTCCCAGATTTACTGTTGCAGGATGGTGTCTGAGGGTTTATCCAGCCTCAACCCCCCCTTTTTTTTTAAATACTGCCATTTAATCCTGACAAGCAGGCACAGGCATGTCTTTGGTTGCGACCAGGCTTTCACTGCCAGCCAGTCTCAGGGTCCTAAACTGACTCATCAGTCAGAAAGATTAATGCTCTGCTGGATGATTTCACTTGTTGTCATGGCACATATCCATTAATGGAAAACAAATATTCTCTGGAAAATGAAACACAGATCGTGGCGTAGCGGCCAGCCAAGTCCTTTTGGCCAGATGCATAAATAAAAGCATATATTAAGTGTCAAGAACTTCAGGTTGATGCTGCATGGCAGTCTTTAATTATATATTTTTTTTCTCTTTTCAGTATTTCCTTTTTTGTTCCCTTTTAATGGGGGCTGTTCCCCTACGTCTGGAGCTGCAGTGTGAATTTTTTGCAGATAAAGAGTCGCTGGGAGGACGTTTTCAGCTGGGTTCATCTTTCCAGAGGCAATGCCTTTTAGCATGTGCAGGAGGGTTGAGGGTGTGAAGAAAGAAGTGCAGGCGAGCAGCGCAGGAAAGCTTTGCATTGCAGCAGCCTGACGTCTTTAAAAAATAAAGAATATCCCCGAGGAGCTTTGGTATGCCAAATGTGTTAGTTAAATTAGTATTGAGTGCTGGTACATGGCAGGCCTTCAGAAGTGGGAGAATGTGGGGCTCTGAGTGCAGCTTCCCTCTCGAAGGCCCCTTTCTGCTCGGGATCTCGAACGGCACACACACCATCTGGTGTAATCACGGGGAAAGGGGGACGGGGCTTTTTCCCTTCCAGCTCCACTCTTCTCCCTTAAAGACCCCAAAGTTCACTTTGGGGAGCAGCTTTCTGCTGGGTAGTTTGGGGATCTGTAAGCTCCCCCCATCCCTGGGTGGGTTTGTAAGGCTGGGGTGGTGAAGAGCGCCTGGCTGCGTGGAGGATGGGTGATGCAGCAGTTGGGTTTAATTAGTGTGAATCCCGTTATGTGGCCGAAGGGCCCTGCAGCCTGTGCAGGCTGACGTTTGCTTGGCTTGGAACTACGTTGTGTGTGTCTCATGAAGTTTGCCAGGATAATAACTCAGCGGGGAGTACCTGTGGAGCAGACCTGGGGGGGGGAAGAAGGGGAAGAAAAGCCTACTAAGAGCAAGTTACCACCAGACCCTGCTAGAAACAGTCGCCACTTTTGTTGAGAATCGTACTTTAATCACAGCATTTTTTGTTTTATTTCTTTGACCAGGGGGAAGTTATTGTTTCAATCAGGAGGAAGTGTATAAATGTTCTTTAAGGACTTTCTGCATGGGGAGGAAAGGAGATACTGATTTAAAAACCCCAAACCTTTGTTTTAGGTTTGCTGATACAGATCTGTGTCTGCCTTCCTGATATTGGGGCAGCAGTAAGTGACTTAAGCCCTTTCCAGATATTTAAGTCATTTCTAATAAGTTGGCATTTGTCGCTACTACCAAGGGTTTATCCAAAAAAAAAAAACCTTATGGCTGAAATAACATCCTTTTTACTCGATTCATTCATGTGGGAATGTGTGGCTGGATTTGGTGTTGGAATAGATTTTGAATTTTTTTAATTACTATTTTATTTCACAAAGTTGTTTTGCGTTTTTGGGTTTCGCCCAGGATTTTCCAAATAAAAAGAAATTGGAATGGAGTTAAATGAAACTGGAATGGAATTAAACACTTAACTGCTTCCCTTTCCTCCCAGGAACATCTGACTAGAAATAGGTGTAACACAATAATTCAGCCTGTGACGGCTTCAAGCCGGTGCGTCTGGAGCATCGGCGTTTGTTGTACCTATATGTGTGGATGCTATATGGAGGGATTTAGCATTTATTCTAGATCTACCTTGAACAGAAGCATTGCAGGGGATTCATTTTTATTATTTTTTTTTAAATCAATCTCACGCATGTATAATAAATTCCACCCCCTTTCAAACCCACTCATGCACTTGGATTTCTAATGAATAAGCCTGCATATTTATTCATGAGGATTAAACAACTGTACAGATAGATGGCAGCTGGCTGAACTATTTTTTTAATTTTTTTTCCCTCTTTAAATCTGCTGACCTATGATCAGGGGTAAAGGGGAAACCCTCCCGGATTCACTTAGGCTGTTTGCAGACTGGGACAGGCGAAATGGCTCAGCTCTTTCCTGCTTAGGTACAGACTGTGGTGTCATTGAGTGGGATGCAGAGAGGGGAGAAACCGGGGCTAAAAATCTCCAGTTTATATATAAATAAAAAAAATATACAAAACCCACAAAACAACTTGTTTTCAGGGCTAAAAACCTCCAGTTTATATATATAAAAAAATTATACAAAACCCACAAAACAACTTGTTTTCAAGGTAATGCCTTCCGTGCTATCTTATTGCAGAGACCTCAAACATCTGGGTCCTGACTCCCAACCCAGCTCTGGCCATGTCAGGGTCAGACGTGACGCCCGTCTCTCTCTGTCCGCAGGCCCTGTTGCTGTTGGGTGGCATCGCTCTTTCCTGCCTCGCGCTGGACCTGCTCTTCCTCCTCTTCTACTCCTTTTGGCTGTGCTGCCGCCATCGGAAGAGCGAAGAACATCTGAATGCTGACTGCTGCTGTACGGCATGGTGTGTCATCATCGCAACCCTGGTGTGCAGGTATGGTCCGTGCTTGGAAGGGACTTTCTCTGGGTTAGGGTCCCCACTTGGGGTGGTACATCCTGTGTGTGCATTTTCACTCTTGTTATGCTATGTCTGTAGTTAATCAATGTTGGCAGCAATCCCTGTTTCCATTTGGTACATGTATGTAATGTGTTTTCTTCCTTTCTACCACTTCTGAACTGCCTAATGGCTTGAGCAATGTGGAAAGGAATAGCTAACGTCCTGCTCTTGATACTTTCCAAGTGGTAAATCAAGGACACAGTGTCCTCAGAAGCTTATCGCTTCAATAGCATGGATACAGTTGAAATATTTATCAGGTCTAGACGGAGATTTCTTAGAATGTGGTGTCCAAAAAGAATGACAATGTGGGAGAGTAGATCAAGAAGAAAAAGGCACATACTGTTCTTCTGGGTTTGGAAGTATTGGTGTTTGACTGGAGTGGACGTTCCGATTTTGCAGCCTGTGTAAGACTGCTACATTTCATTATCTGTACTAACGTGCCATCTCCAAGGGTTGCTAGTAATGCTGCTAGTCTCAGCAACATTTCACGTTGTCACTGAGCAGTAGAAGGCTTTTGGAGGTGAGGTGAAAAGAAGGGTTGCTGAAAGCAAGAATAATCAAATAATTAGTGGAGAACATGGGCAGAAGACGTTAAAAGGAGAGAATTTACATTTTGTTTGTGTTGTGATTGGGTTTCTTTTGGTCAACACAGGTAAGTACCCCATTTCCTAAAAGTTAATGATGGGGCATCTGAAAGCAGGTACTGTTTGCAAACTTCTGGAAAGAGCCTTGGATATAGTTTGTTTTGACTTGGCTGGAATGAATACTCTGAGCTCTATGGATGTGTGCACTGCATTTCTTACCAATTCCAAACATCATCCTACTCTTCCCCAAGGCTCCAGGTGGTCTTAGTTGCTCCTCCGCAGGGCTGGCAGGTCTGGGAGGAGATGGATCAGAAAGGAGATGATGAGACGATTGTGTTTTGTGGTGTCTGATGGCTCACTCTTTGTATTAACCTGCTGATAGGTGGTGGATCTGGTACGTGATCGTTTTTGGAGGAGAGTGTGTTCCTTGAAGGCCAGGCTTAGCTCTTCAAGGGCTAAATTGTGCTAATGCATTTGCGTATTTGTTCTTCGGAGGCACTCACTTAAGAGAATAGAAAACCCCTGAAGTACTGGAACAAACACTGCAGAGCAGACATCATATTGTGAGTTTAGCAGCTGGGGATGGATTTGCCTGTAGAAGCAGGGGCTCAGTGTTGAGAAGGAGAGGTACTTGTGCTCGCAAACACTGCCGTCTTTGCAGGGAGCTTGTCCATTCTTTCCTGAGTGCAAATAGGTGCCTGGAATGAGAAGGGAAACTACAAAACAACTTGCAAATAAGAAATCTCAGTATCAGTCACGTTTCATTTTAGTGTTCTCAAGAGCTTCAGCTGCATCCATTCCAATCCACTGGAGGTGCTGTGGTCCTAACCCTTTCTTACAGAAGCTCTAGCTGATGCTATTTATACTTGTGCTGCTGCTACAGGTCCTCCTTAGCTATTGTTACACAGCATGTGTGTGCAGGACAGCTGCTGCAGAGTGCGGGAGTTGTTTGTTTTTAATTCTAGGAAGGGTGAGAAGAGGTATTCTGTACATCTCCCGAAGCGTGTGTGAGACAATTTAAAGTTGGAAGGTCAACATATAAATTCTGGGAAACTTGATGCGACTCCCAGTCAAGTTTGCAAGGTGGAAAACTGCTTAGATTCCTCGAAGTGCAAAGCATTGGTTTTCATCCCTAGCGTACCATTTGTTCTTGCAAGTGTTAAATACAGGACCATCCTTAAAACTTAAGATTCTACCTGAATCTACAGTGATATTGGATGAGTATTTGTCTTGAACCTTTCTTAATTAAGTTTTAAATCTGCACTCTGAGGTTGGCTGTCTTGAACGACAGCAGGTTGGTACCATCTGTGGTGAGTGGAGCTGCTCTCCAAGTTCTGCTGCTCACCTGCAAAGCCGAGGTGGGTTTTCTGTCCCTCTGAGAGCAGCTGGACGTGGCAGTGCACTTGAACCTGTGCCCCTTGGCACTCTGTGATCTGTGTCTGGCTGGAAATGCAGGTACAGCTTCCGACACGCAAGGAATCTTATCTGTGCTAGCAGGAAGTCCCAGCTAGATACCATTAGTTAAAGATTAGTCCAATGGCTATATCCTATCCTAGCTGTGCGCTACACAGAACTGAAGTGCCAGGCCAGCAGATGCTGTTGTGTTTGAGTGGTGGGGAGTAAGGCTATTCCAAATGCCTGCCTGAGTGTAGGCTGACCTGGAGGGAGTTTATAAGGGGAGAGAAGTAGCTTGGATGGTAAAGCAGTGAGAGGTTCCAAACAGCGACTGGTCTCAATACCATAAAGTGGACTATCATCATCTTAGCTGGGAACTAGTTAGCTCTAGTTAAGTCCAGCCATCCCTCGTAGACGCTTATCTAGGTAGTAGTTAGTCCCAGGGGCTGTTTGTACTGTGAATCCTGCTGACTGCTGTGGATCACAATTCCCTAATGACTTGATATTTCCTGCTGAGCAAAAGGAGAATGCTGAGCCAGCAGGAAGGCATAACTGGTTAACATGACCAGCCAAATGTCTCTAATCAGTCTTCTCAGTTGCTGTAGCCACAAAGCTGCAGGAATGATTTGCCTAGATTATTCCTTGAATTTTTAGTTCGTTTCTAGTCCTTACCAATTTTGATTGGTTTCTGTGTAGGGGGAGTTGTCTTATGAATCACCTCATCCGCCAGGTAGGTGACCCTGACTCTCCCAGAAGGGAGCTCAGCTCCAAAGGTGGGTAGGAAGCTTCATGGAAAAGGTACCTGAAAAAAACGGGTACAAATAGATGGTGAAAACTTGCTTTCTCAAGTGTCAGTAATAGCGCTTTCCCCTGGCGTGAAAGTGCAAGGTGGTAATTAGACAGACAAATTAACATTTCTCCCGAGAACATGAAGTCTAAAAAGGGCTCTCCTTATGAAGTTCCTGTAATTAAAGCTGACTTGGTGTAGTTAGATTATTCATTTCTAAGGATGTGATGTGAATGGCTAGTGTTCATCTTTTCAGACTGGTAACTGGGTACCCAGGGGGGTTTCACTGTGTGTGTGGGTATTACATCGGGAGGATCTCTTCACCAGAAGGCATGTATATGCTCTCTCTATCAGATTAACACTGCTGTTCACATATACATTGTGTAATCCAGGAAAGGTAGGGGTTTTTGCAGGTCACGTTACAAGATAATTTGGAATTACATCTGATTATTCTCTTCCGGTTCTTTATCAAGGGGTGTCCTAAGCTCACATGAGTCTTGCCTACAAATAACAGGAAAATCATGCTCTGGATTTGAGTTTCTTGAGTCTTGGCACAGCATCCTGTTTCTGTGGGGGTGTGTGTCAGTGACGACAGTGTGAATCTCAGGAGTGCAGTGTTTTCTTGATTTAACCAAAGTGAGTTTCCTAAAACTTACGAAAATGACCAAGTAGCCAACTGGCTTTTTAAATGCAGTATTGGACAGCAGGAGCAAGTTTTAAAATGGCCCAGGAGAGCTTGGAAGATTGATTTTTAAGATGTTTATTCAAAAATACTAGTGAGAATGAAGGCGAGGAGAGGTGGAGGTAGTGGAAGCGACAGGAGACTGACAAAGGTAGGTTTGGGAGGAAGAACTGAGGATGGGACGGGGTGGATTTAGGAGGAGAGAGGTGTGTGTGCGCTGGGGAGGGGAGTGTGACAGAAGCAAGAAGAGCAGAAGTGGAGATGACTTTCCTATAGAAGCGCTGAAAATGCGTTGGAGTATCTTCCAGAGGGTGCTAGGGTGGAAAAAAAAGCTGTGTCATTCAGGAATGCTGTTCTTGTATCCACACTGCGTGACAGAAATGAAGGCTTCCCCCATTGGGTGATGTTTTTGGCATCCTGTACTGGGAGATGGGTCTGCTGTATCTTAGGCTACAAGAGCCTCTCAGGGTTTGTGCAAGAAGCTGTGTGATTTCTCCTGACCTCCAGGACTTATGCTCTTGGGTTAAGATGAGTTGATCTATTTTTACTTTAAAAGGAAGCGCTTAAATAGAAGGAGCCCCTGTGTTTCCCTTTAATCAAATAAAAGGTAGTTAAAAACTAGCGCAAATCCTTAAATCTGCTTTAAACAATAGCAACTTCTACCAGCGTGTGTAGGCAGGGATTTGAAACAACTGTTGGATTTAGATGAAGCCAAATGCAAACAGAAAATCAAACAGCAGTGGTTCTCCCCTTTTCCCCCACTGCCCCTCAGCTCTGCCTCCTCCTCAGTCCCAGTGTGGGTCCGGGCAGATGCCCGTGGCCTGGATTTTGAGACTTCAAGGATGGTTTCCTTCCTTCTCTAGCATGGGAGAAAGGGGAACTGCCATAAAACTGTAGAGCTTGCTCCTAGGAAAAGGAATGACTCTGTGAGTGGCTCTTGCTGGCACAAGGTGTGAACACAGAGCTGGCTTTTGCTGGGCAGTAATGGAATAATTAATGCTTTATGTGTAATTTCCAGTGAAATGTGTGAGACGCGTGTCCAGAGGTATTTGTTACTTGAATTAAGTGGCTTTTATCTCAATTCCTGTCACTTTTATGTTTTCATTCACGAGGGGTGACTGGCTGGATGGGAAGCCTATGGGGATGGCTGCTGGGGTGGTTCTGCCCTGCATGGGGTAACGAGGTTGGGGTCACTTGCCTGGAATTGCTACCACTTCATAAATGGTACCTTTGAGTAAACTGGCCAATACACTGAGCTGTGCTGTGTCTTTAAGGCTGTGATGACTGCTGCTACTTCAGAGTGCTGTTTCTTGAGTTTTTTCCACCAAAACAGCGCTACTGTGCTGGGATTGCTGAGAGCCAAGCAGCAGGTTTTGGGCACTTACCAAGCCTTTGCTGAAAGAATAGGCTTCTAGTGGCTGTAACAGGCTGAATAAAAATCGCTCGCTAATTAAAGGGGTCAGATCTGCATATTCAATGTCAAGAATGTTCTGGAATTTATTTGGTGTCCATAGTAGCAACAACTGTTAAAGTTTTCTGCTGCTCAGGAGAGTGAGAGGGTCTGTGTGGATTTTTTTTTGCTCTGATAAAACAAGGGGAAATTCAAGCCAGAGGTTTGCAATTGCCATGATGGGATGCTGAGTTGCCTTATCCTGGGCATAGCTCTGGATCTGTAATCTCTGTAGTTCGAGGGGAGGGGTATGTGGGGGGGATTTTGTTGGTTTTTTTATCCCTTCCACCCCACCAGAGGATGCTGAGTTGCCTTATCCTGGGCATAGCTCTGGATCTGTAATCTCTGTAGTTCGAGGGGAGGGGTATGTGGGGGGGATTTTGTTGGTTTTTTTATCCCTTCCACCCCCGTTCATCCTAGGCATGCGTTATCAAGCTCTGATAATAACTGCAACTAGGAAGGAATGCAGAGGGCTTTTCTGGCTTTACTTATCAGCATCATTTGCATTAGGAAAATGTTTGAGGAATGGTGTTCATGAAGAAAGAGGCTAATATTTTGTATTAACACTAAATATCAAGAGTTAGAAACCTGCTGCCTCTCTTTCTGTATATGATGTAGGCTGACTACTGTCCCTAGAAGACCCTTCAGCAGAGGCTTTTATGGGCCAAGCTCTCTATAATTTATGGAGATTCAATTGTTGGAAAAAGCATGAGGCTGACACAGATTTTCATAGTGGATCCACTTGCAGTGCATGTTCTTTGCTTCTGTTTCTTGTATGGATGAGGAGAAAATAGAAATGCAGCCAGATGAACTACATTGCTCAGTTTGCTTGTTCTGAAGTGGATGAGCCCAGGAAAGGTGACATGGGTGCTGGTCCTGCAGGAGAGGCACGGGAGCAGAATCAGTCATTCAGACTGCAGATTGATGTGTGTGCCAGAGCAAATCTGAGTGAGGGTCTCTTATCTGGACAAAGCCCACTCTGGAGTTCATTTCCAAGCCGGGTGGTGATGGTGGTGAAGAATGCCCAATGTCCTTTAGTGACCCTTCCTATTAAACAAAGGCACTGTGCTTACTTGTTCTGAAGGCTGTTGTTTGGCTTGGTTCCTCCCTCTTTTATTCCTGCTTCAAATGAACTCTGAAGGGGAATGCTATAACCCAAGCACGAAATCGTTCTGGAGAAACTAAATGTTTCATCCAGAATAACTTTAGATTTACACCGAAATCACCACCACCTTCCTTTTTACTACCACAAACGCAACCTTGGTGTCTTGAGAAACTTCCCAGAAAAGATCCTGGGCGCTCTAAAGCTAAGTAAGACACGAGAATTTGGTCTTGGTAATGTTTGTTTATGCCTGTAATGCCCTGAGTTTAGTTGTGTGACCCCTTCACAAGTTCTTTCCTCCTCTATTATTAGGAAAAATGGGCTCGGGAAGAGGAACTGGGAGTTCCTGCAGCGATGTCTTAATAGAAGTATTGCTGACTTGCACAAGATAATCTCCTGGTCACAACTCATTTACAGAAGTATTGCTGACTTGCATGAGATAATCTCCTGGTCACAACTCATTTACAGGATCTTCCTCCTTTAAGTGAGGCTTAAGCTAATATGGTGTACTTCATAATTGGGGCAGACTGATACGTGTGGACAGTTATGGCAAATCAGCTGATAGGTGGTAATTTGCTAAGCAGCTGGAGTTGAATTGTGTCTGCAAGCTGGAAATTCACTTGCTTTAAAAATAAATAAGCCTTTTGTCCCAGTAAGTTATTAAGCCTTCCTTTCCAGTACTCTAAATCAGTGTGACACAAATGCTTCTAATGGGAAGATAAATCAAGATAGATGATGCTCATAGATATTTCAGAGTGTAGAGAAGAGGGCATGGATAATGTGTCTAGAGGAACCACCACCATTGGGAAACAGTCAATACAAGCTCTTTGTGAACTTCTTTTAAAAAATGTCACAAAACGATCTGTATTTTGTGTCTAGAGAGGGCACGTGTCTCCTGATAGAGCAACGGTAGCTCTTGCAGGAGCCACAGGAGAGCCGCTTGGCTGGCTGGATTTCTGGTTGCACATGGCTAGATCTGAACTCTCATTATTTTACCATAAATGTAACATATACATTGAGAAAGGATGGTGTTCCACTGTCCGTCATATGGATGCTATTCAGAGACTTGGTGGCTGTGTGGAAAACACGGGTGAATGTTTACAGGTGAATTTTTTTAGTGGTCGCTGAGGAGCACGACTACCCCAGCTGTCTTTGTGACTTCAAAGGGTGCTGTAGCAATAAACCATGCGTTATATAGCTTGCCTTTTAGCTTTAACTCTCCCCTCTCTTGCTTGCTTTCTCTGCAGTGCTGGAATTGCCGTTGGCTTCTATGGGAATGGGGAGACCAGCGATGGCATCCACCGGCTGACGTACTCGCTCCGCCACGCCAACCGCACCGTGGCGGGGGTCCAGGACCGGGTAAGCACCAGGGGAGACACGCAAGGAAATGGGGAGTGTGAGAATGAGCAGACTTGCTCAGCACCTCTTCTCTTCAATCCGGCTGTGCCTGTGTCTCCTCTTCCTTTTTGTTAGTCTCCGGGCTTAGAGATGTGCTAAAACTTCCACTAATGGAATTGGTGCTTTCTTCAGCTCTTCTAAAAATATCAAAGCAAACACAGCTTGTTAAATGAAGTCTTCTCTTCGCTAGGTCTAAAAACAGCCTCTGATCAGTTCTCTTCCACACCCGGAAGAGGAGGCAGGCCAAAGCAGACAAGTCTCTTAGTAAAATCTAGCATTTTAGTAGAATTGGTTGTTGCTGTACTACCTCTAATTTCATGGTATCGTTCAGCAACCCTAATGGCTGCAAAATCTGTACGTGTGTTTAAAGGCTCAGCTGAGTTGCCATCATTGGAGATGGCTGCAAAATGTGTATGTGTGTTAAAGGCTCAGCTGAGTTGCCATCATTGGACTACTTGCAAAAAATCTACTCTATAGATGCTTATAAGTTGCTTTTGAAGGGTAAGCAGTCTGAGCCTCTTAAGACAGGACTGGTAAGCTGGAAGCTGTCTGTAACTTGTTAGTAAGGATGAATCCTCTTTCATTTCCTTGACTTCTTGTCCTTCAATTATTTTTCTCTTATCTCTTTTTTTTTTTTCCCTTTTTCTTTCCCGTACTATAGGTCCTAGATACCGCAGTGGCCCTGAATCAAACAGTGGAACCAAACTTGCTCATCCTGGAGGAGATGTTCACAAAGCAGACAGACTACCTGCATGTTATCCAGAAACTGCAAGGTCTCTTGGATGATCTGGTCAGGCAAACAACTGAGATCCCCTTTTGGAAGAATGACGAGCTGTCTCTGGAGGAGCTGGCAATTCAGATTGACCTCTATGACTGGTACAGGTGTGTATCACGCTGTAGCCTAGTGATTGTAGCATCTGTTTTGGTCAGTTTTGCAGCAATAATGTGTGTGTTCTGGGTCATTGAGCCAAAGACTGTATAAATCACTGCAGGTGCTCTGGGCCCACCCAGCTGATTTGTTTCTTACAGCGAAATTGCATCCAGTTTAAATCAAAATGCATGAAAACAACATTTTGCTTAACTGTGTGTGTGTGTTACCAGCTGCAGGGAAACTTCTCAGTGCACGAATTCTGTAGCTCGTGTTCTAACTGGGGAAGAAAAGAGCCACAGAGAGCGCTATTCTTGTGTCTTAATGAGTGCATTGTAGTTGTCTGACACATTAACTAAATAGAGTGGAAAACTGAACTAGTTCCATATGTTAACACCATACCCTTACATAAAAACTTTTTCAATAAAAGATTGCATCCAATGTATTCCACAAAAGAAAATCTCTGTCCACACATGTGGAATAACTGAGGCATTTTCTAACAAATGTCTAGGAAGTTCAAGAAGCTGCAACGCCTGTTCTTCACCTGATGGCATCCAGTTTTGTTCTCAACAGCTGTGTATGCTGAGCCTGTTGTGTAAATGCTTTTACCTGCCTTGATTCCAGCCTCAGCAAATATTCAGGGCTATGTTTTTCCCACGAGTCACGGTAGCTTCTTGATCTGTGCCTTTTATACACAAGTTTTCCTTTGCAGACTACGTGTTGGGGTGGCTTTTGTTTTGCTGCAGGTGGCTGGGATACCTGGGCCTGCTCTTGTTCCACGTCCTGATATGTTTGCTGGTGCTCTTTGGGCTCATTAGAAACTCCAGGGCCATTCTTATGGGGTAAGTCCTGAAAGAAGGTCAGCTGAATGCAAGTGTTTGCTAGTTTAAACCTCTGGGCTATTGTCAGTTGGTTTCAAGTACTTCTGAGACTGAGGTTAAGTTTGTCTCTCACTGTAGAGAGACTTTGTAGAGTGTAGCTCTGTGGATGGGATTAAGGCCACATGAGAGATGTTCACAGGAAGGTTCTTAAGCCCTATAAAATGGGATGGTGCTGGTCTCCATTCAAGGACACCAAAGGAACTCATCTGAGCAGTCTGCCTTTCACTGGGTAGCATTGGTAGCCTTTTTACTGGGAGACAGTAGTGAACATCCTCCCTTAAATTTACAGGCTTTAAAAAACCTCCCTTTAGCTCTCTACAGTGTGCAGGCATGTGCTAATGGATAATAAGCATTGCATGTACCTACACACCCTGGTAGCCTGCCTTTTGTGTCACGATCTGCTCTTGTTTACCTTCGGCTGTCACACCTGAAGAAATGTTTAACTGAGAACAAGCAATGGTTTGTACAGTTATGAAGAGGAGTCTTGTTGCCATGGTACCACAGTATTAATGTGTGTCTAGTTCTAAAGAGCACTGCAAATGCTGCCATGCTCGAGCCCCATTATAAGGAAAAAAAAAATATTCCTCTCCCTATCTTGTAGCTTGGTTTAGCTTGGCATAGTTGGCAAAGATGCTGGTGTCATAAACACGGTGACAGTTTGACAACTGACATGGCCAAGAGTTTATCCTGGTACGTGGTGATGCCGTTAATAATTGGAATGCATATTCAGATTTATTGTTTGCCAGATGACTTCATACCTGGCAGGTTATACAGACAAAAGTCCAAGTGAATGCACAGATGGTAAACCCAGGGTTTAAATTAGAATCTCATTCTCTGTTAGCCAGAAGTTCATATTAAGGCATTCCCCAAAGGGAGCACATGGCAAGTGTGTCACAGCCAAGGAAGGTGGTGAAATGCCAGTTTTCGATCCCGTAGCCAACCAATCAGTTACCGACCCAGTCATCTTCATTTAAAGCAAAATAACAAATGTGTCTTATTGAATCGATTACCGTGTTCAGCTGGAGGCACCAAGCCGGGTTGTCCTTATGTCACAAAACCACAGAACCTTGCGGATCCGTGGCTGATGGTTTTTGCATCCTTTTGGAAAAAGCACAGTGAAGTCTTTAGCCATCTTGTTCCAGAGAGCTTTGCAGGGGTCAGTCTGGTGAAGCTCCATTATTTCTGCAAGATGACTCACAGATCCCATTCACAGAATAGGGATTACTCAGAATTAAAGTAAGTTTGTAAACTGAGGGATGAATCTTTTAAAATGTAGACCCATGGATTTATATTTTTTTAAAGCTTTGATCTTCAATGAGACAAATGTAGCAGAAAAGAGATATGGCCCATCCTCACAGATCTGCTTGCGCTGGGTTTGAATAAAGAATAGCTTGGTTATGAACAGGTTTTTGTTTTGTTTTCCTGTATTTCAAAGCCTGAAGGAAAAAGCATCCCTGAGAGAGTGAGCCAGTGTCCCTTTACTTTGAAGACAGGGACACATGAAATGAAACTGCTTATTAGTCTGCATCCCCATACCTGAGGGAGCAGAGGAGCACTTTTGCCTAAGTACCTGTAGTGCTCGTACTGACAGCAAAGGTGAAGAGCTAATGTGCTGGCTGGGGAAGTGCAAGAGCCTTTTCCACCACGTGTGCTAGCTGAATGTCACCCAGACCACTGCTCTGTCGTCCCTCTGCCTTCTCTGCTCAATAGCAGACACTTCCCACTATTTCTGTGGGTAATGAGGTCCAGCTGTCAGAAGGAAACCTTTAAATCTGTGCGGCGATGCGCTGGCACAGCTGCGGTGGGCACCTGAGCCCTTTGCTGTGAGCGGTTTGCCCGCAGGTGACGGTCTCTCTGCTGGGCTCTGTGGGGTGCTCGGGTGCTGGTCAGGCACACTGGAACCCAAACCAGGTGTCCTACCACAGGCCGAGTGCTCCCTCCCACTCTCCGTAGCCCTGCAGTGTCACACTTTAACTCATTTATTCTAGAAACAGGATGGAATTGTCCAGTTCTGTGCCAGTATGTTTTTGTAGTTTTTTCCGGGCACACACAGCCTGGAACCCAAGCCAGGTGTCCTACCACAGGCCGAGTGCTCCCTCCCACTCTCCGTAGCCCTGCAGTGTCACACTTTAACTCATTTATTCTAGAAACAGGATGGAATTGTCCATTTCTGTGCCAGTATGTTTTTGTAGTTTTTTTTGTATGAGATATTTTCATTTGAATATCTTTGGACCGGCATGGGGATAGTGGGATCATAGAATCATAGAATTGCCCAGGCCGTATGAGGTATTTTCATTTGAATATCTTTGGACTGGCATGGGGATAGTGGAAGCAATGGGATCATAGAATCATAGAATTGCCCAGGCCGGAAGGGACCTCCAAAGGCCATCTAGTCCGACCCCCCCGCAGTCAGCAGGGACACCCCCAACTAGACCAGGTTGCCCAGGGCCTCATCGAGCCTCTCCTTGAATATCTCCAGGGAAGGGGCCTCAACCACCTCCCTGGGCAACCTGTTCCAGTGCTCCACCACCCTCACAGTGAAGAACCTTCTCCTAATCTCCAGTCTAAATCTGTTCCCCTCCAGCTTGAAGCCATCATCCATCTGCCAATCTGCCTTCCCCGTGGCTACCCCTCTGTCTCTGGCTTCCCTGCTAGAAGCAGGGTAAGACTTTGCTTCCACCCTCTTCTTCCTTCCCCTGTGGCCCCAGGGCCAGGTAACGTGGAAACCAAGAACTGGACATAAACTTCTCTGGTTGCTGCTGTCCATGACATGTAAAATGGAATGGTTTATCTGAAGATACGGTTGTTGGTAATTTCTTGGGTTTGGTAATTGCTTTGGACTCCACATAATACATCTTGTGACAGGATCTGCTTGAACTCAGAGCTTCTACATCTGCCATCTGTCTGTCTCCCACAGGGTGTGCTTGCTCGGGGTGTTTGCCCTGATTGTCAGCTGGGGATCCCTGGGTCTGGAGTTGGCTGTCGCGGTGGTAAGTGGCTCTCATCCAAGTCCCATCAACCCTTTGCTGCAGGTTTATCTGACGGGACATTAATGTTACACTGTGCCTGTTTTATAGTTAATCTTGTTCGAGGTAGCAGTCCTAGCAGTTTTGCATCTATGAAAAAGTCCAGAGCTGCTCCTCCTCCCTCTGTGGTGGGGTGCCAGTGCTCCAGTGCTGGTGGGGCTGACGATGAGACACTTCAGCATCTGAAACACCCTTGTAGCAGAGGGTAGTGGTAAGTGGCTCTCATCCAAGTCCTGTCAACCCTTTGCTTCAGGTTTATCTGACGGGACATTAATGTTACACTGTGCCTGTTTTATAGTTAATTTTGTTCGAGGTAGCAGTCCTAGCAGTTTTGCATCTATGAAAAAGTCCAGAGCTGCTCCTCCTCCCTCTGTGGTGGGGTGCCAGTGCTCCAGTGCTGGTGGGGCTGACGATGAGACACTTCAGCATCTGAAACACCCTTGTAGCAGAGGGTTCCCTGACATTAACCTGGCTCAACTGCTCTTTGATATGGGTGTTCTTTGATCTTCCTTTTCTCTTTTGTCTTGCATCTATCTAGGGCTCCAGTGACTTCTGTATTAACCCTGATGCTTATGTCTCCAAAGTGGTTGAAGAAAATGCGGTGCTTAGTGCTGGTAAGTGCTGGGACTGGCTTTGGGGTACAATGGCTCCAGGTGTCACACAGGTGCATGGCAGTGGCCAGGAATTTAAGGTGTTGTTTGGAACAGAGGAGCTGGCACACAGTGGGAAAAACAAATATGTGTGGAGCTCAGGAAAACCAATGCTCTCCCCAAAGAAGCATTTATACCCTGGTCCGAAGTGCACATAGATACTTTACTTTGTCAGAAGAGCCCTCAGAATCTTTCTTCTGTCTTGGACCTTAGGTGGAAATAACTGATAAGATGGAACAGCAGCTCCTGGATTATTTTGAATCTTGTTCTCCTCTCTGAGTGACAGAACTGCGGCAATAGCAGTGTGCCGTTTGAGTTGTCATTTTTAAAACTTGCTCTTAGGTCTGTATTCCTGAATCTAGGATACTTATTTTTGTATCTGTTACCAACAAATACATATCATTTTTTTTCTCTTAATGGGGGCTATAAATAGGAGTCTTTTTAAAGCTAATTTAGAGGGTAAATGAATGGAAACAGCCACAGAGAAGTATGAATTTCCCTTTCCATTATAAATGCAGTATTTTGACTGCTTTGTTAATCCTGTTCCATTTAAAGCAATATGCCTGCATCACAGTGGCATCCAGCTGAAGCACTGATGGATTTGGGGTTTGTGACTCCTAATTTAGACTGAAGTGCTTGATGAGATGAGGGGCGCCTCCAACTGGGACCTCAGGCAGGGCAAAAGTGGCTTTCAGAACCGTGGTGTAACAAAAAAGTGGTTGGGCACCTGCCAGTGGAGATGCCATAAGTGCTAAAAAGGAAAATGATTTTTCAGAACTGAGTTTGCTGCTTAGTTAACAAAGTTAACTTTTATTTTCTCCTACCTTCTCTCCCCTGATAACTCCTCTATATGGCTCTGTGTATGATAAAACACAAATAAGCAGTGACACTGATTTGCAAAAGGAGCCACTTGTGGTTTTCCTGGCTCTTATTTAGTGAAATCAGAGAATCTTTGCCTTGTCTACAGAAGGTCTGGTGTTTGGCCGTGTGCTTAGCCATGTCTTTAGCCAAATGCTGCCTCTTACTGTGCAACTGAGAGGAGATGAGGTGTGTAGCTGTGGCTGAGGATGTGGAGATTGGATGCAATAAGAAATGTTTATATCTGGAGGCAGAACATGGTATAAGAGAGTATCTACAGCTGATGTTACTGCCCAACAGCTTATTTTTGGAATGCTTTATTTATTGATTTCCTGGAAAGGAAAGGGTAGAGCCACACGGCTCTCTCTGTATCAAAGAAATGCAATAAGGGAAGAGAATGAAAGTTGAACACCACCCAAGAGGAAAAGCCTGTGTTGGCTGTGAAGGTGACAAAGACGTGTCTTCAGGTACCAAGCTGGCCTCCTGGTTCTTCAAGGAGGCACATGGGTCAGTGAGGCCGAGGGGGACATAGCTGATGCTGATGCCAGCTGTGTGCTGTAATAATTTGGTAACCCAAATCAGCTCTGGATTGGTAACAATTAAATTGACCCTGGGTAACTGAAGAAATGCTCCTCCGTGCTACTTCTCCATTTCAGTTGTCCTCGTCTGCTTGGCTCCTGCAGTTTTTCGTTAATCAGTATCATTCGTTTAGAGGCTAACGGTGAGTGCAGGCCTGACATTCCTGTCCTCCCTCCTGTTTCCCCTGGCAGGGACAGTCACCTCCCCCGGGTGAAATCAGGCTCTGTTCTGGCAGCGCCGCCAGCTACAACAGTTGTTGAGGCTCCATAAATAACAGTGAATGGGGCTCAGTGAAACACTGAAGAGGAGGAAGAGCAGGTGTTGTCACAGGCTTGAGTTGGAAGGGTGGCCCCTTCTGTGGGCTGCTGGTGTGTCAGCTCCCTGCTGTTAGGCAGCCGGTGAGCGGTTGTGAGTGCTTTTTCCTCCTTTTTTTTTTTTTTTTCAGAAGGAAATCAGTCTAAGTTCTGAGCCTGCCATCGCACCAGGCAGCTGGTTTGGGGATGGTTGAATGTTGAGCCTTCCCATGTGGATTTTCACTGCTGTGTCATAGTTTAATATCTGGAAGCTCCAGAAATAGGTCTTGTTCCCCGATGTCAGAAGAGTCCTGGGCACCTGAGCAGGAAGGAAAATCACACCACGAGGACTGCAGTGTGGCACTGCTCAGTGGCACTGATCCCAGTGATGGCTCCTTAGAAACATCTTTAAAAGTCTGAAAGAAGTGTTGGCATCCCTTAATATGCTTGACTATAAATTGTAGCAGCTGCTTTGAGATCAGTTGAGCCATATATACAAGGCAGGGTGATGAGCTGAAGGAGACTGGGCAGGCAGCTGAGAGCCAGCATCAATGCCATCCTCTTGGAGGAAGCCACCCTGTTTGAAGGCTCCCAGTTCCAGTGCACAGGACTTGTCACACTCTGGTTTGTTGCCTCTGCTCTGGGGGTGATGCTCTCTGACATTGACAGCTGGATTGACAGATGATGCCAAAACACTTTTAAGGTTGCTCCAGCTATTTCACCTATGGAAGGTGAAATAGTGTTATTTCAGTTGAGAAAAGAAATGAGTAAGACAGGGTGTGAGTGGGTGGAGAGGCTCAGGTAGTCCATGGAAGAAGAATCCATTGGGAGTTACCATATTATGTAGGCATCACCTTTACCTTGGGAATCACTTGAGCTGAAGTTGGGCTTCAGTCTTGCTTAGATGTCTGCATTTGGCCTGTACTGGGGTATGGCACACAGGTGCTTCCATCTCTTTTTAAGGATATAAGAACCCAAGTAATCTTAAGAAGATTTTTAATGCTGGGACAATTTTCCCCCTTTAATCACTACTTTTAGTTGTTGTTTTTAAATATACTGTGTTGTGATATTCCCAGCCCTATGCTCTGGCATTCAGACTAGGATTGAGTCATTGAGGTCTGATATTGCATATTCGCAATGCTTCTTTGCTGGTGGTGATTATAGGAGTTTTCATAGAAAAATAACCGTGTTGGATACTGAGCAACTAGTATGTTAATATTCCTGTTTGTGTATTAATTGCTGTTTGCAAATCTAAATAGAATTAATGGAGCTGAGAATAATCTGATTAAGTGCATTATTATTGTTGTCAGGTTTTTAGCTGGAGAGATGTTCTTGTTTTGTAGATAAAATGTGCTGCATTTAAAAAAAAAAAGCCAGGGGAAAGAGTGGGAGCAGAGCCTTAATGCAGGTTTCCTGGAGAAGGAAAGACTTAAATCATTTTGCAGAAGAGGCTGACATATGTGCCTAACTCGTGCAGTATTCATTAATTGAGATAAAGCCAATGGAGTTGAACGGTGGCTGTATAATCAGCTCCTGCTGCTCGTAAAAGGACTTGGTGCAGCCAAGATGTTTATTTTCGAAGCAGGAGGCCATCTTCTGGTCTCATTCTTGTTTTTTTTCATTGATATTATGTTATTATCAGATGACTTATTGCATAAAATTAAATAAAAAGGCACAATCTGTCGAAACAACAGGAAGAGCTTTCTCCAGATTCTCTTACTGGAAATCTGCGTGGTGAACAGACACTTGCTTCATCTGAAGGAACTGCAAACCTCAGGGGACGGATAATGGAGCCTTTTGCCTCCAGTCCAGCCAAGCTGGTCAGGCTGGATGCTGACACTTTGCTACTCAGATACAAGCAGCCAGCGCTCTTGTCGCTTGCAGCCTCCTAATTGGCTTCTCACTGATTTACTCTCATCTGCTTCTAAGCCCAGAGCTGAATGACACGAGGACTGACACTGCCACCACCTCCCCTTCCTCTCTTGAAGTAAGGTCAGGACAAAACCCGACGTGGGGCGTGTGGTGGTTGCACAGTTACTGCTTGAGCTCAGCGGGCACTGCAGAAAAGAGTTTGCCCAAATAAGCACTTTCAAGAATCCTGATAAGCTGATGTCAGTGTTGAGAAGCTGTATTTTCCTCCATGGTTTTATTGGACTCCTGATTAGCAGAGAGCTTTGAGTGGAGAGCATGTGGGATGGCTATGAGCTCCTTGCTGAAGGCCCCCGATGGCTGATTTCACCGGTAGTCTAAGTTCTGAGCCTGCCATCGCACCAGGCAGCTGGTTTGGGGATGGTTGAATGTTGAGCCTTCCCATGTGGATTTTCACTGCTGTGTCATAGTTTACTGTCTAGAGGCTACAGCAATAGGACTTGTTCCCCGATGTCTGGATCATCCTGAGCACCTGAGCAGGAAGGAAGATCACACCACGAGGACTGCAGTGTGGCACTGCTCAATGGCACTGATCCCAGTGATGGCTCCTTAGAAACATCTTTAAAAGTCTGAAAGAAGTGTTGGCATCCCTTAATATGCTTGACTATAAATTGTAGCAGCTGCTTTGAGATCAGTTGAGCCATATATACAAGGCAGGGTGATGAGCTGAAGGAGACTGGGCAGGCAGCTGAGAGCCAGCATCAATGCCATCCTCTTGGAGGAAGCCACCCTGTTTGAAGGCTCCCAGTTCCAGTGCACAGGACTTGTCACACTCTGGTTTGTTGCCTCTGCTCTGGGGGTGATGCTCTCTGACATTGACAGCTGGATTGACAGATGATGCCAAAACACTTTTAAGGTTGCTCCAGCTATTTCACCTATGGAAGGTGAAATAGTGTTATTTCAGTTGAGAAAAGAAATGAGTAAGACAGGGTGTGAGTGGGTGGAGAGGCTCAGGTAGTCCATGGAAGAAGAATCCATTGGGAGTTACCATATTATGTAGGCATCACCTTTACCTTGGGAATCACTTGAGCTGAAGTTGGGCTTCAGTCTTGCTTAGATGTCTGCATTTGGCCTGTACTGGGGTATGGCACACAGGTGCTTCCATCTCTTTTTAAGGATATAAGAACCCAAGTAATCTTAAGAAGATTTTTAATGCTGGGACAATTTTCCCCCTTTAATCACTACTTTTAGTTGTTGTTTTTAAATATACTGTGTTGTGATATTCCCAGCCCTATGCTCTGGCATTCAGACTAGGATTGAGTCATCGAGGTCTGAATATTCGCAATGCTTCTTTGCTGGTGGTGA